AAACTCCTAATCTCAGTGCATTCTTCGGAACATCCCAATGCATTACCGCCTCAATTTTGGTTGGATCAACCAAAACACCCTCTTGATTGATGATGTGCCCTAAAAAATGCACCTCACGCAACCAAAAATCACATTTGGAGAATTTAGCATACAACTTTTCCATCATCAAGGTCTTGAACACCTCCCTTAAATGATACTCATGCTGCTCCTTGGTCTTAGAATAGACCAAAATATCATCAATGAAGATGATCACAGACCGATCCAACATTGGTCTACAAACCCGATTCTTGAGACCCATGAACGCCGTTGGATCATTGGTGAGCCCAAATGGCATCACCACAAACTCATAATGACCATAACGAGTCCTAGAGGTTGTATTCGGTATATCCTCATCCGGTGATACCCCAACCGAAGATCAATCTTGGAAAACCAAGATGCACCCTGAAGCTAGTCAAACAAATCATCAATCCTCGAGAGCGGATAACGGTTCTTCACCGTTAGCTTGTTCTACTCCTGATAATCAATACACATCCTGTGCGACCCATCCTACTTTTTCAAATAGGATCGGTGCTCCCCATGGGAAACTTCTCAGACGAATAAATACTTGGTCTAGCAACACCCGAAGTTGCATAGATAACTCCTGCATCTCAGGCGGAGTTAGACGATACAGTGTCTTGGCTATCAGAGCCGAACTAGGAACTCAATCAATATAGAACTCCACTTACCTATCAGGAGGTATCCCTGGCAACTCCTCAGGAAATACATGAAGGAAATCTCGCACAATCGGGGCACTGATTAACTCTGGCATGGCCTTAATCCTTATGTATGAAACGTAAGCCAAGAACCCAGAACAACCCTGATGAAGAAGCCTCTTAGCCATCGTAACCAAAGAGAGAGTTGGCCCCCGCAAGGCTCTCTCTCCATAAATAACCAGTTCTCTTGCACTTAGGGTTCGAATACTCACCAACTGATGCCCAGAGTCTAACATGGCCCTATTGGGCCCCAATCAATCCATACCAATGATTACCTTTAATCACTACAAAGGAATTAGAACCGAATCGATAGAAAATCTCTCCCCAAACACATTCAGAATGCTCCTCTGAAATACCCTCGCAGTACTCACGGTGCGGTCATTCGCAAAGTCTACTTCAAGCGGGGAATCCAAGGTCCCCAGAGCATCCTTAAACTTCTTGCTAAGCGCATGAGATACGAATGATCGAGTCGCCCCCAAATCCAAAAGAACATAATCCAACAAACCATTGACCAAGTAGGTCCCTATACACGATCATAATAACATAAGCATGAAAATAAAATAAACAAGACCAAAATAGATTACATACCAGTAATGACGTCAGGTGCTGCTCGGGCCTCCTCAATAGTCAGCTGAAATACGCATCTCTTCACCGCAGGAGCTTCCGCCTTGATCGGAAGACCATCTGTAATCCTCATCATGGCAGGCACAGGCGCTGCCACTGCTCCTCCTCCTATAACTAACATTGAACAATCACCCTTTTTATTACGGATCTGGTTGTAGTGGAAACAAATCAAGCCCTTCTTAGGGGAATTCTAGTTCATGTGACCCAGCTGGCCACAAGCATAACTTGCTGATCCGGCTAATTGGCAGGTTCCACTATGTGGTTTACCACACTTAGCACAACGACCACGACCCTGCTAGCCTCTGCTAGAAGGATCAGAGGTCTTAGGCTTCTTGGCCTGACCCAATGATGCCTGAACCTAGTACGGCTTCTGCTTCGTACGAAGCTCTAACTCAATTTCCCGTTCTTGGGATTTCTCTACCATCTCATTCAAGGTCTTGCACCCTGAAAAAATCACAAACTCCCAAATATAATCTCTCAGCAGGGAATGATATCAAGTCTTCTTCATCTCCTCATCAACAACATACTGCATAACCAAAAATGTCCTCTCTCGTAATGTGGCGATGATCTCTACCACAGTCTCAGTATTCTGTTGGAGACCCTGGAACTCTCTCACCAAACACTGCACCTCAATGGATGATGCAAACTCCTGATCAACACTCCTCACAAGCTCCTTCCAAGTTATCTCAGCCACCTTGCTGATCCCATCTCACGGGTCACCTCCTCCGACCAGTCTCATGCTTGATCCCTTAAGATACATGATGCGAACCCCACCTGTGCTGCCTCGGGGAAAAAACTCATGTGTGGGGCATTCTACATGGCTGCTACCCACCGTCGGCTAGTGATGGGATCCATGACCCTGAAGAACTTAGGCACTCCTCACGCCATGAACTCCCTGAACAAGGGAGCCCGGGCCCCAATATGGCCCGCAACAATCTTGGCTTGGAAGGACCTGAGCCTCTCCTCCATGATCTCCATGCTGCTCTCCTTGACGGTACCAAAAATCATCGGGATAGCATCAAGATGCCACGAGTAACCTCGACTGTGATAAGATCGTGAAACCTCTCATCTATGGGCTATATACCCGAGCCTGAACCTCCCTTGATTCCTCCTCACCGGATAAGGAATTCGAAAAAGATTCCTCCTCACCGGACATCTAAGAACTACCATGTTTGTCATTGCTTCGGGTACAAGTCCTATGCTTTCAGTAGTACGGGCCCAATACTACCTTCCACACCTACCTACACCTTCCCCAAGGCCATAACTGATATCTCTAAATCATCCATTCACAATTCATAACTAAAAAATACAACACTAACTCAGATCCCATTACATATCCATATTATTTTAGAAATTTAGAGTACAAAAAGATAAATGTGAAAACACTAGAGAATGCATGCCACACCATCAAATCGAGCCCTTGCCCTTAGAAGTAAATGAAACATTCAATAAAATTGTAAGCACAAGCTTAGTGAGTTTCCCAATCACAGAAATCATATAATCACATAATTCCATGCTCGTACATAAACATACAAGTTTTCCATGGACTCCCTCCATGGTCTTGAATGGAATTTCATTGGCTACACCCATGATATTATATCCCTGTGCCATGGGCTCCTCCCATGGTCTTGCCATGTGGCATGGGCTCCCCTCATGGTCTACACATAAGTCCATATATAATTCCTGTTAGGATAATAATCCTTTGAAGATCGATTAGATTAAAAATGGATTGCAAGTAAGAACAAAATACAATGATTCAAGGTATGCTAAATGATTATTTTCCACAACCTCAGAAGAACTTGATTCAGAATTTCTACAGTAGAGGCATGATGAGGGTTACAAGAATAATTGTTAAAGTTATGAAACACGATGCATGCATGCAAATTAAATACTCTAACCCTAATAAATGATGGTGGACAAGCCCAAGCCCGTTTACATAAATAGACTAACAAAAACATACAATAACGCAACATAATATACCTAACAATCTCCCCCTTTACATCCATTGAGACGAGAGTCGATCAAGGCTGAGCTCGATTTTTCACTTCAAATACTTTAGGAATGATGCTCAGAAGAGACTTGTGAACCTAAATATACCACATAATCATATCCAAAAAGCACTTCTTATTTCCTGGGCTATTGCCTTTGAATTTATTAATAATTTCTAAAATATACTCAAGGCAAGTAGTGAATTACAGATGTTTATCATCAAGGAAGAAATAGGCCTTATGAAAATCAACATCATTTCATTCTCGTTCCTGAAAAACCACATACCACCCTTCCTTATATATTTTCCCAAGCTTCAACTTTTCAAACCCTTCTAGAGCATCTTTGGGAGGAAAAATAGCTTCCTTTGAAACACATCAACTATTCAACCATCCTTCCAACCTCTTGAACATACGAAACTAACATTACTTTGAGGTGAGCAATAATAGGCTCGTACTTCTATCCGTCTCTCGGTAGTAGGTTGTAAAGCATAATCCAGTCATAAGGATTGCGGCTTGGTAAGTCAGCGATAGTGAATTCGCAAACTTGATTAGCAGAACCTCTCACAACCTTAAACTTTGCATTAGGGAAGCTTTCAGTTTCACTTGGACCTCTGACCTTCATAGCGGTGATCTTGCTAGCACTCCACGTTTCATACTATGGCTTCATGTGCTTGAGATAGAACGAGAAGAGCAGTTGATTGGCACCATTATAAGTGGAAGGGACATTCTCCACTCTGACAAAGGAGCGAAACATGAAGGCTTTTGGAGTAATTAGCAGATCCAGTTGCGAATCTTGTGTATTCTGAAGTTCGAATGACACAACTGGTTCTAGCCAATACTAACTTGGCATACCAATGACTTCGTTCTGAATTCGCTTCAGAGTCCACTTTGGAAATAAAAGCTTTCGGTTTTCCAAAGTAACATGAGCTTCATGTTGTGCTTTCTCTTTCACTTCAGCCTCCCTGATTACTCTTTGATGTTCGTCCATTTTAGCCTCTCGTGTCTTTCTCCTCTTGAGCTTGTTTTCATCAGGCTCTTCATCTTCGCTATTATCAACAATGGGTTCTTCACTAAAAATCATTTCTTTGCCTTTAGGCTTAGATTCGCTCTTGAAAATGTGCTTGACTGAAGGTTTGGGGGTTTTTGTTTTTAGATTGAGACACACCTTCTCCCCCTTGTTTCCGAATGGAGCTAGATTCCGAAACACCATCCAGGCGATTAAGCATTGCGAAAACATGACTTAATTTTCAGCAAGATGTTCTTCACTGTAATAGTGATCATTGAGTCGTGAGTCTCAATGATATCAGAAAGCATACCATTAACTTATGCAATGTAGCTCTTCATAGCAGCTTTCTATGATAATAGATCATTGACCTACTTCTCAGCATTTTCAAGCTTAACAGTGAAGACTTTCACCTTTTCAGTCTTGAGGGCAAGGGCATCCATTATTTTTCTCTCTAATTCCAGATATTCATGAAGCTTTGAGAGTTAAGAAGTAACAGAAGATTGGAACTTGTCATGGTCAGTTGAAGACCACTACGAACCTCTTGAAGTTTCGCGTTTTCAGTTTTGAGTGTGGAGCCCAGGCCAGAAATCACTTCGTTTGCCTTGGCAGTGTTGTACTCAAAGAAGCTTTGGTATTGCTCCATAAAAACTTGAGCATCAGATATTAGTATATCGACTTTTTGGGTAGTTTTGTTGCAGACAGAGGTGGAATCATCAACTGCCTTGTTCATCCTTTCAAGATTGGCAAAATGTTCCTTAGTAACGGTCTCAAGAATAGACTTGACTGTCGCTTGAGAATAATCTTCTATAGATGAGGTCTTTTCAGCATTGAGCAACGAGTCCAATTTCTCATTTATCAGCTTAAGTTGACCTTTCGTGATAAGAGATTCATCATCATTTTCAGTCCTGATGTTGAATGGACTGTAAGGGAATCCCGCAAAGTCGTCATCATCCCCAAAAATCATATCCGGGTCATTGTAGCGAAGAGGGGAAATGAGGGTGTTGAATGACCTGCTGCGAACCTGATGTTCCAGCCCTCACATCAGATGTGTTGATAGAAACAGGAGGCATAACAGATGTTGCTGGTGTGGTTGGTAAATCAGTGAAAATTGGTGGAGGTTGCAAAACAACTATGAGGACAGGTGGGCATGGAGCAATAGAGATAGGCATGGAAATGGTGGTAGTAGGAGAGGGAATTGAGACATTATCAACAAAATCATTAAAAATTGGAACCAAGACAGGAATCTCATCTGTTACCTGAGGAGGAATGGAAATAGGTTGCGGAATCTCTGGTTGAGAAGTTGTTGCAGTACCTTCCGTTTGAATAGGCTCCTCCACTTCAATGCGAACGTCTGAGTGAGATTCAAACTGCAAATGTTCACTTTCACTGGGAGTCGCGGATTTGAACTTGCTTGCTTTCTTCTTTACTTTTTGTTTCTTTGCTAGAGAGGGAATTAAGGCATAAGTGTCAGCTTGTGACTTTTTTTTTCTTGGAAGGACCCTCTTTAGTAGTTTGTTTCTTTTCTCCTTTCTTGTGCCCCTTTTTCCCTCATTTCTTCGGTTGATCAGCTTCATAAATAATGGTGAAACGACCCAAAAATACTACCCAAAAATTTCGACTTTTATTATATCAAAAACCACGAAACTGAGTATCACATAATAAAAACCATAATAAAATACTGTGAGAATAACTGTATCACAACTGTATCCAAACATATCAAGAAACTGAATCAACTCCCAGGATAAAGCTAAAGCTGTGGTGAGTGCGCTGCCATCAACCCGAGCTCTTCCCTTTGCTTGCGGAAGTACCTGAAACCAAAAATGAAACTGTAAGCACGAAGCTTAGTGAGCTCCCCCAAACTACTACATACCATATAAACATATAAAGCATATATTGGGGCCTTGCCCCCTCCATCGAACCGAAGTCCGAAGCTGACTGACTGGGACCTTGTCCCCTACATCGGACCGAATACCGAAGCTGACTGGCTGGGACCTTGTCCCCTACATCGAACCGAAGTCCGAGGCTGACTGACTGGGACCTTGTCCCCTACATCGGACCAAAGACTGAAGCTGACTGGTCGGGACCTTGTCCCCTACATCGAACCGAAGTCCGAAGCTGACTGACTGAACACAACATATCATAACCTATCAACTAACATAAGCACACAAATCCTGTCTGAGTCACGGAGGCGTCGAACACACTAACTACTGCATTGGACCGAAGTCCAGAAACTACGGCTAACTGAACGGGCCGACATTGTGGCCTTAGACCCGTTCCTACTGGAAGGAAACTCACCTCGTGAACTGGCTGCTGTGTGCACGGCTCTAGAAACTAACTGCTGCTGCTCCGGTATCTCCCCGGCTACAATTCCATAACACACACAATCAGATACTAAACATTGCATTGGGTAAAATGACTCTTATACCCCTGATCAAAGTCAACTCTCCTGATCAAGTCAACCTACAGTTGACCCGACTCGCCGAGTTGGGCCGCCAACTCGTCGAGTCCCTAATCTCACTTCTCAACCCTACTCGTGACTACTCGTCGAGCATGGCATCGACTCGACGAGTACCCTCTCGATTTAAAAACCCAGACAATCTGCATCTGACTCGTCGAGCCATATGAACAACTCGACGAGTTGTTCTTCGATCTATGAAGATTGCCCTGGACTCGCCGAGTTGTATGAATAACTCGTCGAGTCCCACCATAACCGAGTCTACCCTTCGACTCACTGAGTCCACCCTACCGCTCACTGGCCTCCACTCAGAATCCCTCAAAGGGTAAAGATCGGGGACTTGCGACCGGACTCGCCGAGTCCGAAGAACGACTCGCCGAGTCACATGCATGCAAATCCTAAAAACTCGATTCTAATCAAAACCACCGCATACACTTTATAGATCTGAGCTTCCTTCGTCCGATTATTACGTAAAGATTCTATCTTTACGTGTCTAAAAGCATCAATGAAGATTATAAGGCTTAAAAAGCATGATAAAGGCTAGATCTAAGGTTCTTACGCAAAGCAACTTGAAAAAGGCAATAGATCCGGGCTCTACAATTCCTAAATGAACAGATCTATGGATATATCGACCTAATAAGGCATCCATACAACTATAAGGTTGGAAAAAGCATCAAACTAGCCTTATAAATGATCTAATGGAAGTTTTTAAGCATAAAACAGAGGGATTCTGAGAAATACCTCAATTTACTCTGATTTTGACCTTGGATCTTTGCTCTACACCCCTTCTCCTTGTTCCTTTCTCCTTCTTCTTCTTCAAGCCTTCAAGAATCCACACAAAAATACCTAAATCAATCAAGGAATGGATTAGGGTTCTCACAACTCTCTCTTAGGGTGAAGGAGGCGAGTTTAGGGCACATAACATTGCTTAAATAGCGAGCAACCCGGGGATTTAGGGTTTCATCCTGGCAGACAGACTCGCCGAGTCCCGAATATGGACTCGCCAAGTCGCCGACTAACACGTGCACGAAAACTCGACCCTACTCGACGAGTCAGTCCATAGACTCGTCGAGTCCCTCCATAAAACATCTAAATAAATGCCATGGGAACAACATACCAGAGATGGGGCGTTACAAATGGATTGCATCTCCAGCGTCAAAGGATGAAAGTCGGAGACAAGGAGTTTCCTGTAAGCTTCAAGAATTTTGCTAGCCGCTGGAACATCACGAAACATAGCCTCTAGAATGGATGAAACAAACAAAAACTTTGAATTATCAGCAACTATAATGTTTGTGGTATGAAAAGTGGAGATGGCAGACATGAAAAAGTCTTGCATTACTGGAAGGTTGTGCTTATCGATTTCCCTCTTAATAATGATTTTCCAGAATCGAGCACAAAGAGATCTCGTTGTATCTTGTGGATAAATGGGTGCTTTGTACCACTTGAGCCCAAAGAACAACTCCAAAATCGATGTTATTCCATTGTAGAGTCCATACAAAATTGACATAAACAACTTGCTAGCGCAATCCGATCCAGTGACACGCTCTGAGAAATTTTAAACAAGAGAGTGAAGAGCCCATTCCATTGTGGTGGCAGAATGGGATTTCTGAGGTTTGAAATTTTAGTTAGGGTTTCTTCGTACTCCATTTGATAGAACATCTCCATGGTGGCAGTAATGGAGATGGAGTCAGGATCTATCATATCAGCAGACTGAGCAAACCCTAACAATGAGCAAAATCGAGACTTATTAGTGGAGGTTTTCTGGTTGTGGACTTCAAACGTGATGCGCTATTCTTCCTTGATGTAGAAAGTGGTGGAGTAAGCCTTCGACAGGAGTGACATTGAAATGATTTCTAATGTGGTTAATGCTTTGACCAATAGTGAGTACTTCAAGCATTCAACGATAGGAAACATGTAGCTGTCGTATTTGAGAAGATCGAGATAGAGAATTAGGTTTTGATTTTTCTTGATGTTGAGAAGGAATGACTGCACTGTGTGTTCATGAACAGAAGGAGTTTCAGAAGATCCCACCGTTGATGAGTTCTTGAGGATGAAGATGACGAATAGTAGAGAGAAGTTTTATCTCCAAAAATCTTTGAGTGTTTGTGAGTGGTAAAGAGAGAGGTAGCGTCAAAATCCCTTTATACCATTTGTTTGGTGAGAGAATTCTGGAGAGAAAGTATATCGATTACTAAAACGACACTTGAAAAAGCGTGATATGACAACTGTGACATCAGTAACGTGTGCCAGGCGGCGGAAAAGAAGCATCAGTTTAAATTTTCACACGCCCATTTGAATTCTTATCCACAATAGTACCGCTTCTGTTTCTCCCCTTTCGCTTTTTGAGCATATATCACCATTCGCACCGAAAACAAACTTTCAGATTTAGGCAAACTTGAGTTGACCTGTGAAACTGAAAAGATAGTAAGTACCATGAACCAAACTTTGGAAAATCACAAGGATCTTCGTGCTAAAGTGTGCCAAAGATAAAGAACTAAATCAAAGCATATGTGTGGGATTTTTGTGATGTCTATTTGAACACACGCAACTCTGGATCCCGGGAAAAGATCTCTTCCTTCAAAGGAAAGAGAGACTAAAAAGTGTCTGTGTGGTACCCCGTTGAATTACGATCTCATGTTTATTGAGAAACAGTGAAAGTCATTTTTTCTTTAGGTTTTTGAGCTGGCTATTTCTTCAACCAGATTCCGAAACTTGATATAAGTACGAACATTCGGATGAGGTACTCATGTGACCAGTGTAGTCAATTAAACGAGTAGCTTTGAAATTGTTTAAGTGACTTGGATAAAGATAGAAATGTCAAAAAAAAAAAAAAATTAAAACCTGGATCTATTGGGAAGAAATGTCTTAGATCTAGAAAATTTCATTTAGATCTCGCAAAATAAAAAAAGGGATTTATTGGTATAAACCACGAAAGTGGAGTTTCGTTAATTCCTTGGTGAAATATATAAAACATGTAATTGTTCACCGTCAATCCATAAAAGTGTGTTGAAGTGTGGGTTTCACTCAGTTTGTGGTGTAAAAACTAAGATCATTAACACATGTGTTGTGTAACCACAAACCTCAGTGGTAATATCTGAGAATCTCAAGGGTTACAATTATGAAAGAAAAAGTGATGGAGAAATGTAGGAGGTGGTTCCAAAGAAAGGAATGTACCTCTACTATGCAGAAGTGACCTAGCAGACATCTCTTTACTCAATATGAGAAGAGTAAGGTAGTTCATGATTTATGTGATTTCGTAGCCTAATTGGGAAAAAAACAATCCGTGTTTTCGATTCATTAAAGATTCAACATAAAATCGTCGAGGCTTTAGACAACATATATCAACATGTTTCTAGTGACACTTAGCTAGTGCATAGAGAAAGAAATCTATACTTGCCCCATCATTCATTTTCAAAGGTAAAGATTTTGCCTTCGATCTGCACAAAAAAAAAACTTGAACAAAAATATTTTGAATTTTGAGTTTTTCAAAAAAAATAAAAAAATAAAAA